ACTCACCCTCCGCTCCCGCTCCGCCCGCGGGCGCGGCCCCTTTAAGGCCCCTCCATGGAAACGTGTCCCCGCTACGGGAACCCGGCGCGGACAAAACACCCCGAGGGACGGCGGCGCCCGGCGGCGGGAGGAGGGAACTGCGCCCTCCCCAAAACCCCCGGTTATTGCCCGATTCCGCCCCATTTCAGCGCCGGTTGTTGTTGAACGTTTATTTAATTGCCACAGTTCATTGAAGGGATGTGGAGAGACGGTGCCGCACGCAGAGAAAGGCGAACCCCACCCGGAAGAAGGACGAGGCTCCCGCCTCGCAAATAAACTGATAAAATTAAAATAATTTTAAATAGATTTTGGGGGGGTGGGGGTGTTCCCCGTGACCTGTGAGGAGCAGGGAGTGTTTCACACTCTCTGCCACGGCCCTAGATGATGTGGTCTTTCCACGTGGAGGAGGCACTTGGAACTGAAGCAGCAGCTTTAACTGGTTCAGTTTATTAGAAACGTGATTTTTTCAAAATGTTAAATAATGTTTCTTATCCTAGTGTTTAAAGGTATCTTACAACAGATACACTGTCCTTTGCCACAGTCCCTGTAAGACTGTCCAAGGCTGCCCCAGGACATTCAGAGGCTTTTGACTCAGGCTTAACATTTGTAGTGAGAAGGGAAGGGCAAAGCCCGACCTGGAGAAGTGCTCCAACTGGAAAAACTGTGGATTATCCCTGGCTGGTGGCCTAAGGCTCAAGGCAGGAGTCAGTGGATGCTGGTCTGACCAGAGCCCATCCACATCCTCCCTTCCCTAAGGCAAATGGTGACATCCTCAAGGTCAAATCTAATATTCTCGTTTCCCTCATTTCTTCACAAATTCTGGTGGATTATGAGTTTCCTCTCAAGTGCTGAGCCAGGAAGGAGCACTGGAGATCAGAGAGGAATTCCAGGCAGTGCCAGATCCTCGCTTTCTTCTCGATCCAGGGAGAAACTCCCCTCAGAGTCACAGTCTGCAGGATGCCTGGGACACCTTGGAGTTGGTTCTTCGGTTGAGAGCGTTGCAGATGAAGGTTCCCGTGTCCATGAGCTTCTGCAGATCCACACCCTGCACGGGGGAAGCACAGCATGGCCTTGGCACTGCTTCTGTTGGGTACAGCTGCCCAGTAACAACTGGGATCACTGGGAGAGACTACCAGGGAGCGAGGGAGCCTTTGGAGGGAACTTTAATGCAGCCTCACTGACAGCAAGGGTCAGATCTCAGGGTGTGATGTGGGAGAGAATCCCAGAGTGGTCTGGGTTGGGAGGGACCTTAAAGCTCATCTCACTCCACCTCTGCCATGGGCAGGGACACCTTCCACTAGCCCAGGCTGCTCCAACCCAGCCTTGGACACTTCCAGGGATGGGGCAGCCACAGCTTCTCTGGGAAACTGTGCCAGGGCCTCCCCACCCTCCCAGGGAAGGATTTCTCCCCAATATCCCATCTAATATCCAACATCCCTCTGTCAGTGTGAAGCCATTCCTTGTGTCCTGTCCTTCCAGGGACAGACAATAGTCTCTCTCCACCTTTCCTGTGGGCTCCCTTCAGGAAGGCCACAACTAGGTCACCCCAAGGCTGAACAATCCCAAGAGGAGGGAATGCTCCCAGCAGAGGGGGTGGGATTGGTGTGGAAGGACCACACACAGACCCAGTGTGACTCTCCCCATCCCCACCACGCTCAGGCTCCCTGGGCCGAACCCAGAGCCCTGCTGGGGCCTGAGCAGAGCCCTGGAGCAGGAGGGGGATGCAGGGGCCGCCCCACTCACCGTGTGGATGCCCAGCCCGTTCAGCATGTACACCAGGTCCTCCGTGGCCACGTTCCCCGACGCTCCCTGGGCGTAGGGGCAGCCCCCGAGGCCGGCGACGGACGCGTCCACCACGCTCACCCCCATCTGCAGAGGAACCCACACCACAGCCAGGCGTGACTGCTCTGCCAGCACAACCTCCTGCCCCTCACAGCTTCCATTCACAAGCAAAGAAATGAACAAACCCAAAGGAAGATGCTTTATTTGTGTGGACACCCCATCCCTGGAAGGGTCCAAGGCCAGGTCGGAGCACCCTGGGCTAGTGGGAGGTGTCCCCACCCAGGGGGAACGAGATGGGATTTAAGGTCCCTGCCAACCCAAACCACCCCATGAGTCTGTGATCCAAAGGAAGGATCCTACCTGGAGGGCCACCAGGATGTTGGCCAGGGCCTGTCCATAGGTGTCGTGGCAGTGAACAGCCAGAGCCCCCACGGGCACCTCCTTCATCACCATGCTCAGCATCTCCTTCATGCTCCCGGGGGTGCCCACGCCGATGGTGTCCCCCAGGGAGATCTCGTAGCATCCCATGGAGTACATCTTCTTGGAGACCTGTCCAAAAGCCAGGATGTGCCCTGGGAAGTACATCACCCCTTTCCCCAGAGCTGCACACAGGGATCGGTGTGTGATGACCTGGAGCAGCCACGAGACTCTTCTGTGGGACTGAAAACCTCCAGGTGCCCAAACCTCCCTGAATTCCCCTGTGCATTTCAGCTGGACTCAGTCTCCCCTCCCTGTGGTGGCTGGAACCTTTCCCAGCCTTCCCTTTCCCAGGCTTTGGCTAAATGGTTTGACACCCCCCCCAGCCCCAGTGCCCAACTCATATCCCTAAAAATGAGCCAAAAACTTTCTCAGAAATTCTGGTTGTATCTGTGTTAAACTCACCTCTGCAACTTTAGCTGCAGAAATCTTCCCTTCGTAGGGACATCCAAGGACACAGGAAACGTATCTGTGGTTAAGAAAAGCACACACTTTTCAGCTAGAAAAATGGCAAGGACATTCAGCTGGCCAAATCAGTCAGGACTTAGTGCATCTTGCATGTCTTTATGATGGAAGAATTAGTTTCATGTTCCAAAAGTTCAGTGGCCAAATCTTATGGAATTAATTATTGAACAATTACAGAATTAACTGCTCAACAATTACAGAATTAACTGCTCAACAATTGCAGAATTAACTGCTCAACAATTGCAGAATTAACTGCTCAACAATTCCTTCTTCCAGGGACATGAAAAATCTGCCAAGACAAGAGCACACAGCATTCCTGGGATTGTGATCTTTGCACTTCCATGTGGAATGTCTGCCAAGAAACTTGTTATTCTGGATCCTTCTGACAACAGAATAACCACACAGTGGGTGAATCCAACTGGAGGAGCGTGGACTGTCCTGAGCAGAACAGGCTTTGTACCAAGGCAGCAGCTGAAACCTTGAGTGTGGTCCAAACTAAAGCTCCTCCATGCCCTGAGCTCACAAAAATCCAGGCAGAGACATCCCAAAAAATAGAAGTTGTAAAGAAATCCCACTCCTCAGTGCTGTGTGGGCTGGGCTCCAAAGGGATAAACTCCAGCAGCCACGTCTCCTGCTCAATGCCAAGGTGGCTGCAGGAATTCCTTACCCCTGAGTGGGAATGCTGGCTGCAGGAATTCCTTACCCCCTGACAGGAATGTTGGCTGCCCTTGCTGCTGCCATCACCTCGCTGAACCTCTCCAGGCTCTCCTCTATGGAGCAGTTGATGTTCTTCTTCGTGAACAGCTCAGATGCTGCTCCAAAGATCGACACCTCCTTGGCCCCTGCAGCCACCTGCAAATAAACACCATAAATCACAGAACCATTAGAGCTGGAAAAGACCTCTGAGAGCAGCAAGTCCAACCCTCAGCCCACCACTGCCAGTTTTTAAATCCAAGCTGGGTGGTTTTTCTTGCATGGGAAATGACAAGCTCAGCCATGACTCAATTCAAGTGATTTCAGGAGTTCAATTCAAGTCACTTCATGGCCAAGTGTTAATTCAAGTGTTTCAATGGCCTCTCTTGGTAGAGAAGTCTCAAACCAGCCCCATAAAACACTTCCCTTTACAGAAACTTTTCTGTTCCTAAATAAAACTGCCCTGATTATTTAGACTTTAAGGCTGGACCTGATGATCTTGGAGGTCTTCTCCAACCTCAGTGACTCTGTGATGTTCCATGATCTATAACTACAGTTCTCTCACTCTGTAGAAGTACTTTTTCCCCAAATAACCCAGTTCCTCCCCAAAGTTTGTTCCACAGCAGAACCACCATGACACATCCAAGTTTGCCTCCAAAAGTGCAAAGTTACAGGTGCAGCAGCAAAGCTGGGAGCTGTCAGGAGAGCTGTGGGACACCAGAGGGGACTGAAAGCAAGACAAACACGTGGCTGTTGAGGTGCTGCCAGCCCTTACCGCTGCCTGGAATCCCTTCAGGTTGGGGGTCAGCACAGGGTAACTGATCCCAGGCACCTTAGTGATGCCCTGCATGACCTCGGTGTGATCAGCCATCTGCAAAGAAACCAGCAGAGCTCTGTAACAGGGACAACAGCCAACCTAGAAAACAATCCTTCAAATGCCTTTTTGTAATGGGAACAGAAATACTGAGGGCTGAGAGAAATGGGCCTCTGAGAGCAAACACTGCACAGTGTGAGGGATCAGAGGTCAGTCACTCAGCCAGGCTGACGTGCACGACCAGCTGTCCCTCTGCCCTTCCCCAGGGTCCAAAGGGGAAGTCTGGAGTATTGCAACTGGTTCTTGCCCAGCAATGAAGGGTTTGGAGGAGCAGAGTCACTGGGTTACTGTTGTGACACTGTAAATCCAGCTGGAACACCGACCTGAGGGACCCACTTGGGGGACACAAAGCTGGTGGCCTCTATGACCTGCAGCCCCGTCTCTGACAGCATGTTGATCAAACTGATCTTCACCGGGGTGGGCACAACGTTCTGAGAGGAAAAAGAGGAAGAAAAGAAAAGAAAAACGACCTCAAGTCATTATTTCCACAGTAAAGTTTTCATTGCAAAAAAAAATAAAATTAAAAATTAAAAAACAAAAGATCGTTTTTCAACATAAAAAAGGCGGCATTTAAAGAAAACGAAAAAGAAGAAGAAGGAAAAGAAGGAGAAGAAGGAGAAGAAAAAGGAAAAGGAGAAGAAGGAGAAGGAGAAGGAGAAGAAGAAGGAGAAGGAGAAGGAGGAAAAGAAAAAGAAAAAAAAGAAGAAGAAAAAGAAGAAAAAGAAAAAAAAAAAGAAGAAGAAGAAGGAAAAGCCCTGCTGGTGGGCAGAGTGGCACATTTGGGGTATTTGATTCCAGAACCCCCCAGGGAGGGGTTGAGGGGCCGGGCAGGGCTGAGGTTGAGCTGCCAGGAGCCCCCCCTGTACCTTCTCGTTCTGGAGCCCGTCACGGGGTCCCACCTCCACCACCTTCACCCGCTTCGGGTACGGCCCCGTCCCTGTCGCTGCCACGCTCACCTGGCACAGAGGGCAGTGTCAGCAGGGACCCCGGAGCCCCCCAGCCCGCTCACCCCCACCCACAACAAGATCTGAAAATACACTCTAGGAAGCTAAACCAATCAAAGGTTGTTTAAGTAAAAGTTTAAGTTGTCTTTAACTAAAGATTAATGTTGATGCCTTGTAAGGATTAAATGACTGACTGTCAAGGGGGGGCTTGAGGTGTTAAAGTGTATAAAAGCTCTCAAAATCCTTGTTTCAGTGGGGTGTTTATGCAGGAGCTATCCGTCACTCCCCAGACGACATGGCCTAGACAGCATCATGAACTAAATTTGATTGTTTTGAATCACCGGCCTTCGATCTCCCCATCCCGTGCCCCCCGGTCCCTGACCTGCCATCCGCCCGGGTGTCCCGTCCCCTCACCGCCCGAGCGCTCGGCCACCGATGCTCCCTCGGCGCTCCGCCGGCCCTCGTCCCTCGTCCCCGTTCCCGTCCTACGGCCGCAGCGATCCTGCCCAGCGCGGGAGCACCGCCGCGCCGCCATGTCCGACCGCGATCACGTGACCGCGCTGCCCCCCGCACGTGAATCGGGCGGTCAGTGGCCGCCCGCACCACGTGGAGCGGAAACGGGGCTCGGACGCCTCCGTGTCGTTCATTCAAGCCCCTCACCCCCTCATCCCTCATCCCTCCATCCTCATACCTCCGTCCCCACCCCTTATGTGCCAGGCGCCGTCTGGGCGCTCCTGTCTGTCGTACTGTGGCATGTTTCGCTCTGGCCCCGGCACTGCGGCCCCGCGCCCGCCGCGCAACGTTATAGATGGGTTTATGCGGTGGCCCGGGCGCTGAGTAAACACGGCGCTGTTTTTGTTTTGGACGGCCCCCGCGCTGCGACAGAGGTACCGGCATGAAATGGGGTTGAGAAGACATAAGCGGCCCGCTGGCTCATTGTCCCTTGTCGGTGTCTAACGGCGTCATCGCGGGGCCCGGTGATGCTCCTGTGAGGGACTCCTGGCAGGCGGTCAGGATGTTTGTCCATTGAGAAACAGCCCAGGGGCTCTGTTCTGGCAGCTTTTGCTTGTGCTGGGTGGGGCAGTAACCAGCAGTGCCTGTTTGCAGCGTTGTGGGTCCTCCACCTCCACCCGGGCTGCTCTGGTGAGGAGTTTCATCCCTCAGAAAGTTCAGCCCTCTCTGGAGAGGGTCAACATCCACGCTGGAAATCTGCTCTCACTCAAACAGCAGAAGTTCAGCTCAGAACAGTGGCTTTTCTTCAATTCACTAAGAACAAAACCTCTTCTCCTTGTAGCTGTCCCCACAGGATATAAATAAAAGTTTGTGGGTGGATTCGTATTAGATTATGGTTTTTGTGTAGATCTCTTCCAACAAGCTTCTGTTGCATTTATTTGTGATGAAAGAGGTGATCACAACTGTTCCAATCAACACCAAAGGAATACAAGGCAGAAGGGATTAGAGGAGACCTTCTCTTAAGTGAAACATTATTTATTCAACAATAAATGAAAAATCCTCTTGGATTCAGTCAAAAAGAAAGGCACTGGGAGATGCTGTGCCCATCCCACAGCTGTCACAACACACCCTCGAGCTTCACAGCCCAGCCAGACTGAGGGGGGAGAGGAGATGGGAGCATGTAGGGCAGGGTGATGAGCAGCCCTTTCCCTGGGGTTTCTTCCTGCCACTTCAGAGTCCCTGCATATCCCAGCATGGTCACCTGCAGAGGAGGGCAGGGGACAATCAGCTGGAGCTCACACAGGCCCCCTGTGCACACCCCAGAGCATCTCCCATTCATCCCCACCCGCCATTCACAGGGCACAGGGCACACTTGGGATGTTTTGAGGCCAAACATATGATGTTTGTTGGTTGTTTGTGGGTTTGTTTGTTACTGAGGCTTCACTTCTGTTTGTTTAGAGCAGAGGGCACTGGAGCATTTGCGTCAGGGTGACACCTGCCACGAGCAGGTCAGTGCCCCTGAGCACGGGCTGAGGTGCAGGAACAGCCATCCCTGCCCTGGGTGAGGCTGGATATGGATTTACTTCCCCTCCCTGCATCAGCAGGACCGGAAGACTCCAGGGGAGAAGAATCTGCCTATTCCATGGCAGCTATGAGCCTGTCCTGGCAACTCCTGTCCAGTGTTCCATGTTCAGTGAACCAAGGAATAGCCTGGGATGCTGCAAGGATCTGGAGGGAGGCCAGAGCACACAACTCTCCTGCTCTCCCCAGTTCCCAGATGAAGCCAGACTGGCCCTTCCCGGCCTATAAACACCCAAAATATGCTCTCAGTGTGTGGTGTCTGTTTTTCAGGTTCCTTACTTGTGTGGCTGGGCATGGAATGGGCGAGCAGAGCTTCAAAACACTGTCCCGAGGCCAGAGCAGGAAGATGGCATAGACGACCTGTCCCTTGGAGGTGTACCTGTGGGACAGGGAGTCCAGCAGGGTCAGGAGCCCCATGGCAGCACCAGGCACGAGAACACCAGCTCACCTGTCACCACACAGGGGTCACCTACTTTCCCCTCATTCCAAACCCTGTCACTTTGGACCCGCCACCAGCGCTGGCTGATGAAACCCAAACAAAGTCCATGTGTGCAAATGTCATCTGTGAACGTGTCCTGGGCTCAGCGTCATCCCCGTCACTGCTCTGCATTTCCACACTGAACACACTCGAGGAAACAAAAACAACTCCAGTTTGTAGAGATTTCTGGCCAGAGCCACTGCCTAAAGCAGTCCTGACTTTTTTTGAAAAGAAGGGTTGTTTTTTAACAATTCAAGCACGGTGGGTGACGTCCTAATTTGTATTCTCTTCTTTCAAGCAAGATATTCCCCAGGTAACAGCCTGGGGCAGAAACTGAATGTTCCAACTGTAGGATATTACCTAAACACCATCTGCACCTGATGGCAACGGTTCAGAGTGTGCCAAATTTAAGAACAAATAAGAAACAAATGTCAGCTGGGGAAGTCCCAGCCCAGATGGTGCTGAGCAGCAGAATCCTTACCAGACTGTGTCTGTGCTGTTCTCCATCTGCACTCTCCAAGGCCGGGATTCATAAATTGCCTCCCCATTGATGTCCAGCCACCTCCCAAGGGCCAGGAGTCTTTCTTGGAAGATGGGGACAATCACCCCTTCTTTGGTAGGTCCCACATTGAGAAGGTAGTTGCCTCCCAAGCTCACAGTCTGCACCAGCTCCTGTGGCAGATAAACCAAGGTAACAAGCTGCATCACCTTCACCTCTGAGGACACAGAAACACCTTTTGTTTTGGTGTTTCTTTTCTCCTGCCCCATGCTGCTTCTTTCTCACAGCAATTAAATCATCTGTGACACTTGAGCTAATGGCTCAGTAGATTAAATGAAGGGCAGTATTTACACAGCCCAGTCTGTTAAAAGCATAATCAGCTCTGGAAATTGGTTTGATTAAAGTATGATTGCCTTCAGATCACAAAATAATGTTACAAGTTGGAATAAAAGTATCTAGCATATCTGAAAATGTGTCAATATTTCCCATGAAATATATTATTTTCCCATTATAGACCAGGTCTTATTTAGAACATCACTGTATCTAAATATGAATGATGGCACTCATCAGCTGCTCCTTAACTCCAGCCTGAGTGTATGGAACACACAACAACTCCTTTGGCAAGTAGGGGGATGAAGGAAACCTCTAGTTCTCAGATTTTCCCCCACAGCTGTTATGATTTCAGCTTCCTCACCTCAATGATACTTGCTTCATCCATGACCTCAGCGATGCTCATGTTGCTCCGGTAGCCCCAGGACAGCTTGTCAATGGAGGAGCACATCTCCCACTTGTGATCTGGCAGAGTGCCTGGCCTGTATTTGTCAGCACAGTTGTAGAACCCTCCGTGCCGGCACGAGCAGCGGTTACACCACCGGTCGTTAACGACGACGGTGTCCTGAGGGAACACACTCAGCTCAGGGCAGAGAACGTTTTGTCTTGGATTGTTCCACCTGCAATCACCCCCCTAAGCCAGCAAAGGCGTCCAAGTGAGGAGGTAAACACCTAAAATTAAAATTCCCTGTGTATTGAAAGAGAGAATCCTCCTGAGAAGGCTGAACCCCTCCCTGAGAGAGCCCCTCCCTGTTCTCTCAGGCAGTGCTGCAAAGGACAGTGGAGCTTCTCACAGGAGCACTGTGGGGCCTTCTTGGTTTTTGGGGAAGAATAAAACACATTTGGCATCTGCCAGGCGGGTTTTTGGTGTTATCACACATCCCTCTGCTGCCAGACCTCCCACACCCACACAAGGAGGGACAGCAGACACTGGTACCTTGACGGGACTGTCGTTATAGAGCCAGGCAAGGAAAGAGGTGGAATTCCAGTAGGAATCTGGAGCTTCCCAGTCTCCATCCGACCAAATCAAGTCTGGTTTGTATCTAAGAGAGATAAATGTTATCTCAAAATGGCTCATTTTCTCCTGCCACAGTGTTTCCTGTATCTGACATAATTTTACTTCCCCTTCCCACTGCCTGTGTCACCAGGAGATTTTGCTTCACTTTCTGCTTCACACAAAGCTCTAAGTGAGGTTGTTGCAGCAGCAAAGAACGATGTGTTGATCCACAGCTCAAGAGAGGATGCATTTTCTTCCAAAAAAACAGAATTTGGCATCTCAAAGGCACATTCTTTTTGTCCGTGTGCCCAAGCCTCGTATTTTTGTCAGAAAGGGGAGGCAAGGCAAGGATGTAAATCCACAGTGAAATCACTCTTCTACTCTACAAATACCAGGCAGGTTGCCCCACTTCCAGCCACCCTGCACAAAGGCAGGATTAAAGGGAATTGTTTTTCCATGAAAAATTTGTCCCTACCTTATTCTACAGATTAGACTGTTCACAGGACAAATGTGAACCCATTTTCTAATGGTCAGTAATGAGATTTGCCTTGGCAAAAATTAACACTCTCTTCTCTGGAACCGGGAAGTGCTCACGGTTCTGAACTGGCTGTAGCTCTTACTTTAACACGAGATCATAAAGTTCTGGCATCATCTTCTTTACAACGAAGTTCTGGGTCTTGAAGCCATTTTTTTTGTCAGCAAGATAGAGTGGGTTAAACCACTCCATGAGGGAGTGATAGAGCCCATAGCGTAGGTTCCTGAAGGACAGAAACGGAGGGAAGAGTTAGGCTCCAGTGGGGATTAAGAACTGCTGGCATTATTATTTCATTATTTGCAAGCACTAGGTTTTTCACACTAAACTTATCATTTTTTGCTGTTTGTCAGCACAGCCAGGAGGATTCACTGCAATATTATGCAAAAAAAAAAAAAAAAACCCAAACAACTGATTCAGCTGACAGAACAGCAGTTTGGCAGTGCCATACCTCTCCCTGAGGGCTTCTCCCAGCTCTCCTACGAGGTCTCGGTGGGGCCCTACATCCACAGAATTCCAGTTCCAGGACCTGGGCGACCCCCAGTTGGTGAAGCCTTCATGGTGCTTTGTGGTCAGGACCACGTACCTGAGGGGAAAAAGGTTTTGATCAGGACAGCAAGGGGACAGCTGAGATGTTCCACAGTCACTAAAACAGCCAGGGACTGGATAACCACACTGCGAGGAGCCCTCTGCCACTACCCTTCAAATTTGGAAGCAACTACAAGAATAACAGAGGTTTTAAGTGGATTTTAATGCCGGAGAAGAATGAACAGTCGAGACTTGGGAAGCAGCAAGACCAGTCATCTCCTCAGCACTCTGGGCATTGACTCATCCCCTCAGGGACCCCTGCAGCCTCTTGGGGACCCCAGGCACAGTGCCCCCATCCTCTCTGGGCCTCTCCAGGGACTCAGGGACCCTAGACATGGGTCTCCTCTCTGCTCGGTCACCACGGACCTCCAACCCTCAGACATTCCCAGAAATGGCTCCTTTATACCCCCAGGGATGCCCGGACCCTCTCATCCCCTCAGGGACTCATGGCCATGGCACTTATTCCCTCAGAGACCCCCTCATCACCTCAGAGACCCCCAGACCCTCCCCGTCCCCTCAGGGACCCTGAGACCGCATCCTTGTTCCCTCAGGGACCCCCTGTTCTCTCAGGGACCTCCCGATCCACCACCCATCCCCTCAGGGACCCCCTTTCCCCTCAGGGACCCTCAGACCCTCCCCATCCCCTCAGGAACCCATGGCCAGGCACCCATTCCCTCAGGGACTCCTCCATCCCCTCAGGGACCCCCAGATCCAGCCCCTATCCCCTCAGGAACCCCTGGCCACGGCACCCATTCCCTCAGGGACCCCCTGTCCCCTCATGGACCCTCAGACCCTCCCCAGCCCCTCAGGGACCCCACCCCAGCCAGCCCCAGGTGCCGACCTGCCCCTTGCCCGCCAGAAGAGCTTTCTGCCCACTGCCGGGGCTGGAATGCGTAGCAGTTGAAATGGGGGGCGAAACTCCGGCGTAAGTGGTTGCCGGGCGGGAACCGGCGTCCGCACGAAGCGCTCGTAGCTGGCATTGCGCTGGGCCCTGCCAGTGCCACCAGGGAACCACTCGGAGCCCCAGGCGTGGCACCGAGACCACCCCCCCATTGCACGACACGCCGACTTGGCCGGTCTGAACCAGGCCGGCAGCTGGCGCGCGTTCCAGGGCTGCCCCAGTCCGGGCGGTGACGGCGGGGCCGCCAGGGGGGCCGCCCAAAGGGCCACGGGGGGGGGGGGGGGCCCGGGGGAGGCCCCCCCGGGCCGGGCCCGCCCACCGGCCCAAAAAACAGCACCGCGCCCGCCGCCCATTGGGCCCGTTGAACCGTCACGGCCGACGCCGTGGGGGACCGGGCAACGGCGGGACCGCGGGGCCGCGGGTTCGAGGCTGCGGTCCGCCACATTCCCGCGGGGGTGACCGATCCAACCCTTAGCCCCGAGCGGGAACATCCCCGAGGGTCACGCCAAGTGCTCCTTGAGCTCTGGCAGCCTTGGTGCTGCAACCGCGTCCCCCTTGGTTAGCCCCGTGCCCCCTGCTCCTGGCTTGCCAGGCCGCCTGGAGCTTCCCACGTTCCCCAGGTTTTGCCAGTGTCACGGAGCGCTTCTCTCGTTTATTCTGACGAGCTAAACCTGCCTGTGTTAAATCCGAGTGAACGGCCTGGTCAACTGGAGGTGTTTATGCACCGGGGAAGAAACAGAAATAAAACATGAGAAGTGGCTGTAATGTTTAATCATGTAACATCCACCAAACACTGGTCAGCTCTCCTGGAATTTGCTGGAGGAAACGTGGTACCTGCAGGGTCCTGTCTGCCCCAGCTATGGCTGAGTCCATAAACCACAGTGAGAACATTCTAGTTTTTCATGATTGGATGCTAAAATCAACATGGTCCCAAATGCTGTGAGACACAATTGGCCAAGACTGTCTGCAAGTCCAGAGGAACCATCTGCACCTTTCCTAGGAAGAGCCAAGGTACCTCCTGCTGCTGCCATCCTGCTCCTGTGGGATCCAGCCAGGCATTCCCTGCCAGTGGGAGCTCATCATGACTTTGTGTTGTCTCTGTTGTTCACCTTTGCCAGGACATGAGGACTTTTTTTGTCACTGTGCTGCACATACACAACCCCCAGAGTCTGGTATAAATAGATGCACCTCTGCCTCATGTGCTCTCAGCACTCTGCTGATGGTGCTGGCACAGCTCTGCCTGTACCCAGTGAAGGGGTTTAGAGAGATTATGTGATCCCTGGGGATTTCTGGAGGACCTGAAGGTCTGTGGAGGGTTTTACTTGATGTTACCTCTGTGTTAAGGAGTGTAAGTGTGATAAAAACACATTGGGGGTTACTGGTGGACAGGCAGGGGGAATTGTCATAAAATATTAGGATCTGCTGTTCTGGGATGTGTTTTTATCCACTGTCTCGTGGCTGGCAGTGGTAACTCTGCAGCCTGGGGACTGGCTGCCTGTGTAAGTTATAGAATCACAGAGTCATTTAGATGGGAAAAGACTTCCAAGATCACCGAGTCCAATCTTTGACCAATCCCCACCTTGTCACCCAGCCCAGAGCACTGAGTGCCACATCCAGGGATGGGCAGCCCCTTCCATTGTTTAACCCTTCCAGTGAAGAAATTCCTCCTGATGTCCAACCTGAACCTCCCCTGGCAGGAGGTGGTAGAATCACAGAATCATAGAATATTCTGGGCTGGAAGGGACCAACAAGGATCATCAAGTCCAGCTCCTGCACAGGACACCCCAACAATCCCACCATGTGCCTGAGGGCAAAGTCCGTGCGCTTCATGTCCCAGCACTGAAGGACAATATCAGCAGGAGCTGTCTCCATGGCAGGCAGCTGATCCTCATCTCCCAGGTCCTCCATCAGAAGAGAAAAGAAACAGGGAAGTGATCCAGACTGTTTCTGCCAGCCTGAGTTCCCGGGGCTCCCACGGACGCCTCCCTACGTCACGTGCGCGTCCTCGCAGACGGTCTCTACCACGGAGGACCTGTGGGTGCTCTCGGCCTCCGGGCTCTCCTCGGGGGCCTTCAGCTGCCTCCTGAAGTGAGAAAACACCCTCCTCAGGGAGGAATTCAGCTCCTTGCTCCGCAGGGCGTAAATGATGGGGTTCACCATGGAGTTGAGCAGGCAGAGGGTGCTGCAGAAGGCGAACACCTTGCGCAGGCGGTCGCTCAGCCTGGAGAAGACGCTGTAGATCATGAGCACGAGGACGGGGGACCAGCAGAGCACGAGGACAGCCAGCACCATGACCAGGGTCTTGGCCAGCCTCACGTCCATCCTCATGCGGGTGTTCTGCTTCCCAGCCTGTGCCTGGTGCTGCTCCATGTAGGCCACGTGCTGGTGGGCCCTCCACAGCACGTGGGCGTAGGCGTAGACGATGCAGCCCAGCAGGAGCAGGGTGAGGCACACCCAGCCCGACAGGTAGTTGTTGTCCACGAAGGGGAACAGCTCGGAGCAGGAGGAGTCCAGCGTGCAGCAGTTCCAGCCCAGGAGGGGCAGGGAAGCCACGGCGGCGCAGGAGGCCCAGAGCACTCCCAGGGCTATCCAGGCTCTTCTCCTCGTCATCAGGAGCTTGTACTCGGAGGGCCGGCTGATGGAGACGTAGCGGTCCAGGGCTGTGAGCAGCAGGCTGCTGAGGGAGGCAGAGAAGGAGGTGTTCACCCCTCCCAGCTGCAGCAGGAACGCCTCCTTGGAGAAACCAGTTCCGTTGAACACGTGGAAGTTCACGAAGCTGCAGACAAAGATGATGCTGGCCAGGATGTCAGCGAGGGCCAGGCTGCTGATGAAGATGTAGGAAGGCTTTTTCCTGGTCCTGGGGGAAGAGAAGATCAAGTAGAGCACCAAGGAGTTCTCCAAAACACACAGTGTCCCAAAGAGGCAGCACAGGGTGGCAATGCTTATCTTCTGTGCCTGTGTGCTGAGCACCATGAAGCACTCCATGGTGCTCCCACTGCACTTGGAGGCGTTTTCAGGTATCTTACAAATATCCATGGTTGTTAACTGGATCTAGGACCTTGCAGAGAGCCTTCCTGCTTCCTTCTGCTCTTCCTCAGATGCTCTGAAAAAGGTAGAGGGGAAGAGGACTTACACAACAGGCAGTAAATTCAACCCAGACACATTCCCCCCCTTTAGAGGGAAGCAAGCAAAAGGAAAATAGCCCATGGGGACCTATTTTCAGGTCCACAGCGCAAATGCTGGAGCCAACTTCCACCCTTTCCCAGCAGAGGTCCAGGCTTTGTCTGGTGATGTAGCTGAGCCCCATCTGTCACAGCCCACGGGTACCACGTCTGCACCACGTCCATTCCCGGGCCGGTTCCTCACCACAAGAGGGAAGCAGCAACACTGGGAATTGCACAGATCCCGGGCCAGTTCTTACCAGTCCTCCAGGATTCACTGCTCAGGGCACCCTGTGGCAGCAGAGTTGGGTTTTTCTCTCCACTTCTGCAGCTCAATGCATTTAACCCCTTTCATCTTCGTCACACTGAGGGGCTTGTCCTTCAGGTTGTTTTCTCCCATCCTTGCTGTGGGTTACACTGGTGTTCAAACCAAGTGCACTTCCACTGAGGGCTCAGTTGTGCTGCCCCAGGTTACAGGGAACAAAGGCTACAGAGAGCAGGTGAAGAGGTAGCTCTGGGATACACTAAACCTGCCTGATTTACAGCAAGATGCTATGTTCCAAGTGCCAAGCATCTGCTGGAAAATCCCACAGAACAGGACCCGATTCTAGAAAGCATCTGCCTGGCTTTGAGTGTCCAGGATCCTTTATCCAGGCAACAGGACCATGAGTTCCCACTGCTGGAGGAGAGCACTGACCTGACAGCATTACCTTTTCCCCAGAACAAACAAGTCACTATCTCTCCTTCCCCTCAGCTCTTTTTTGAAAGGGGAAATGTGCCAAACACGTGAGGCACAGCTGGGACTGTGACAGCCACAGCTCCCTGAGGAGCAGGGCAGGGGCTGGGCTGCTGGGCTGGGGGCTCCAGCCACCTATAATCCACCACCTGTGGTTTCTCTGCCTGTTTTGGGAAATCCAGCAATAGCAGCAGCTGTTTGTAGAGGTGACAACAGCCAGCACTGACCAACAAACCTCCATCTACAACATCTGACACGTATTTTATACCTGACCCCGTGACTTCCTTCCCCACTGATTTCCCTGACACTCATCCCCCGTTCTGTTGTTTGCAGCAGTTGAAAAACACCCTTGAGCTTCCCAGTACTTGACATGCTGCCCAGGAGATCCTGGAGAAGAGCCTGAGCCCCACACTTCACTCCTGCTGCCTGTGGAGCTGGAATATTGGCGGCTCCAGGACGTTTGGTGCGTGTTACAGGCAGAGCAGGTCTATCCTGAGCTGGATTTCTTGGCATGTCAGACTCGAGGAGTCCTGGACTTTGGCTGACATGTGGGCTCAGCGTTGCAGCAAGTCTCTCTCCTCTTACATCAGGCCCTGGCATGGGGTAACAGGACTGGGGATGTTGCACTCACATCTCAGAGCTCTCGTTTCCTGCAGCTCTTCACAGGAACACGACACGGGCAGAGGGAATTACCAACTGCTGTGATTAAACCTGACAACATCCCTCCCTCCAGAGAGAGGTGGATTTTAGCAGACAGATGGACTTTTCATATCACAGGGCTCACCAGGGACCACCAGGGTAACAACTGCCTTGAGTATCCAAACCTCCCCAGCCAAACTCCAGCATCCAGGCCAAGACATCCTTTAATTAAGCAGACTCCAGCATCATCTTGGCATCCCTTACCTGCAGCCAGCATTCCCAGGGCCATCATAAATCCTCTAATCTGAAGTTGTGTAATATCCAGCTAACTTACTTAGAAGCTTGGAAACTGCTGAACGCTGGGCAAGAGACTGAAGGCAGCAAAATACCACCCCTGACATTACATTGCTTGGGGAGAGAATTTGGTTATAATGGTAAATAACTCCTGCACTGCCTGTCCCCCTTTTTTGTTTGCTTTTTTTTTGGACATAAAGCTGCTTTTTCATGCCTAAGGGACATTTCCCTCTCACCAGATGAGCTCCTGGATTTGTTTGTTCATGCCCCTTGCCTCCTGCACAGCTCAGCTCCTGGGAAACACTCCAGCCCATATCTGGGGGAGAGCTGATCTGCAGCATCCTCCACAGGGCAAATCCCACATCCAGGGTGGAAAACCCCTTTCCAGGAGCAGCATCTCCACCTCCCTGGGAATTCCAGCCCCACAACCAGCCCAAGGAGCCCAGGGAGTCCCAGCTGACAGCTCAGCTCAGCCACAAAGAGCAAAGTGGCTTCTCGCCCTCCTTTTGCTCCAGGAGCTGTGGCACAGAGGGACTGGTGCCCTGGAAGGAGCCAAGTGTGGATTCCCTGGGCTTCTGCACAGGAATAACTCTGTCTGGCACAGTGTCTCCTGCCAGCAGGATCTCCCAGGGGGGGAATATTTTGCCAAAACAAAGCACCCTTGCAACGGAGAACCCCCCCAGACAGTGCCAGGACCAACAGCAGAGCCCCAGGAAACAACACCCTGAATAAATGAGGAGCCCAGTTATTAGGAACAGAATCCAGGAATGACATTTGGGAATGCAACATATTCCTGATACAGCCCCAGTGACTGCAAACTCTGCCCAGAGCAGCAGAGAAACCTCCCCCTCCATTAGATCTGCTGTGAGCCCACTCACTCCAGCCTAATAACTCCACTGGCTTTGGGGGAAATTAAATTTACAAATGGAAAAGTCCTTTTCCTTCTCAGTGCATTGCTGGGATTGATTCCAGCTGTCAGACTTGCAGCACTTCTCACGCAGCAGCACGATTCCTGCTTCCACTCCTGCATTTACAGAGCCATCACAGCATCCTGGTGATTAATAAGTTACATATCAGTTGCTTAGATAATGTAAAATTAAGTTTTCCTGCTGCAATCAGCCCGTGCATTGTGCCTGCAGCACTCTGAAAGTCTTGAATATTTCATGTTCAGAATTTCTGAGATGTATTGTTACGGTAAAATAAAATATCTTAAATGATCACCTGATGATTTATGCAAAAATTGTCATAAATGCTTGGATATTTCACTTACTGAAAAAGCAAAATACCTTCTGCTTTACAAATATTTCGGTTTATCTGTGAGTTCTTGTTCTAGTTGCAGAAGTTTTTCCATTATTTTGGAAATAGCTGTTCATCCCAGCCTGTCCCTCTGACCACACCAAATACTGGGGAGTGGAATTCCCTCCCTGCTGTAGGACCTGTCTGGCACAAATGTCACACTGAAGATTATTTGCTTCATTTCTTTCCAGAGTCCAGCTCTGCCCACGTGTGACTGCCTGGGGGGGGGACAGTGTTTGAAGCCCAGGATGGGGTGGGTGCAGAGCAGCTGTGAGGGCCAGTTTGGGTACAAAACAGGGCAAAACAGAGCTGCTCTCACTCCACCAAAACCACCACCCACAGAGTCAGAGTAAACACTGAGCTCAGCATCACACTCCTCCCTGTGAGACTTTTGGAAATACCTGTGACACACAGAACCATGGAATGGTTGGGTTGGAAGGGACCTTGAAGCTCATCCAGTCCCACCCCCTGCCATGGGCAGGGACACCTTCCACTAGCCCAGGTTGCTCCAAGCCCTGTCCAACCTGGCCTTGGACACTTCCAGGGATGGGGCAGCCACAGCTTCTCTGGGCAACCTGTGCCAGGGCCTCCCCACCCTCACAGGGAAGGATTCCTTCCCAATATCCTGTCTAATCCTGTCAGCAGGATTGTCCCATCCCCATAGTTCCTGATGAACTGATCCAACGTTAATATTTCCAAAAATCAGCTGTAAAGACTTACCCCACAGCCTGCTATCAAGCACTTACCTTTCATCCTCTCCTTAAGAAAGAATTGGTCCTAAAACCCAATTTCCCCCCTTTGCCACACGCCGCAGCTCATCCCGAGCAGCACCAGGGATCTCCCTGTGCAGCGGAGCCTCCCCAGCCCGCCCCGTGCGTGGGCTCCGGGGGATGATGTGAGAAAAAGGACCCTGCCGGATGCTGTGGGGCAGCAAAGGCGAACCACTCACCTCCCCGCGGCTGCTCGGGGGCTTCCCATCCCTCTGGCTCCCAGGGCAGCCCGTGCAGCTGCGGGCGGAGCAGCGGCTGCTTCCCTCTCCTCTCCCGCACTTCTGCTTTCAGCTGGCTCTCTTGTACCACTCTGGTTTATTCCCCCGGGCTGGAAAACCATCAGTGCAAGTCCTCCCTCCGCCTTCTTGCTCTTTCTGAGAATGTGTGTCGGGTTTTCTTTCCTTCCCCACTTCCCCTCTTGGGTGTTGTGTTCTTCTGCCTGCTAATGCCACATCTCACAACTGCTTGAGTGCTCTTGGCTTGCTGAAATAATTCTCTCACTCCATCTGATTCTTCCATGTACCTGCAGCGTTTGAGGCAAGGGACAGTCAAGGGGCTCTTCTGATTTCTCTGGGGAAGGGGAAGAGGAGGGAGAGGAAAAGGCCTAGGAGGCAGACATGGAAAAGTCTGCATATACCTGGCTGTTTCAGGGCAGGTTTAAGGGCAAGCTCAGAAATCTACTGTCTTTCAGCCCCATTAGCAGCACAAACCTCACCCCTCTGTGCTCCCCAAAGTGGGGAAGGCCCTGCTTTGTGCACACGCTCAGCTAATGCCAGAGGAATGAGGTGATTTTCTCTCTTGCAAGAGGAAGGGAAGGTCTTCAGTGATACAATCCTGTGGTGAGGACAGACCCAGGGCTGCTGAGCCTGCAGTCACTGCTCTGCCTGCTCTCAGCCATCCTTCCTCCCATAACCACTTCCCCCCTTGGCTGGGCAGCAGCTGCCTGGAGCTGGGTGTGGGCAGGTTGTGCTGGTGCTGCTGGAAAGCAGGGACAGCTGCTGGGTGACAGCAGGGACAGTGTCGCTGTGTTGGTGGGTAGAGGCAAGTTTGCCCCAAATCCCAGAGGAATTGGCCACATGTGGTTGTGTACAGACCATCCACGCTGCAGTGGGGAGCACACACAGTGCTGGGTGTGAAGCAAAGACGTGATCCTTGGCCCCTGGACGCACCTTACCCTGCTCTGCCACCCTACAGAGCCATCCCACAGCCCCATCCCAGCACCAGCAACCTGCCTTCTCCAGGTGGGAGCTCAACCTTCCCTCCTGCTTGGATCCCAGTTCCCCCATTCCGGGATGGTTTTGAACAGTAGTTACACCTCGTGCTCTCCGGATCCTGCTTTGCCTCCTTCCCCTCTGCCGTTATCTGTGGCCCAGGGGGGTTCCCGGCAGCCGGAGCTCGGGCGGTCAGCGATGCTCGGCTGCCCTCTCCAGGGAAACCTGCAGCACTCGCGGGGCATCGGCCTGTGAAGGCTTGAGAAAAGAGGCAGAATTGGGAACCCAGCGCTTCCCCTCGGCCCCTGGCCGGGAAAAGGGGATTCCCAGCTCACCAGGGCGCTTGGACACTGCAGGGACCTGCCTGACCCTTTAGATGCTGCTCAGAGCTGGGCGGGTTTGGAAGCCCCTCTCTGGATCTCGTGTGTGGAAACCACAATAACAGTGAAAGGCCTCTCGTGCTGTTGTGTAAGCGGAGCAGAAGAGGTGGGTTATCAGCTCGGTCTCAAAAAATAAGGGCTTCCATTTCAGTTCCCACGAACTGACAAATTTTCCTTTGCAGGAACAGCTACAAGACTGTAAAGAATAGGTGAGAAACAGGAAGATGCTTTATAGTATTCCTGAGTACAAAAAGCAGCTCTCAGCCTCAGACTGTTCCCTGCTCTGACACACCTTCACATCCAGCAGGATTCTGTGAAATATGGACCCAAGTTTCCTCTGTCTGCAGGCAGAACTGTTGTGACACAGGAGTCTCTGTGTTACAGGAAAGAAACATTATTATGGCAGCATAGTTAAAAGTTTGTATTTTGAGTCTCGTTTATGGCAAAAATTGTCATGCCAGGGTAAAGGAAAATCATTAAAGATGACTTGTAATGTAAGGGCTTTTTGTTTAGCTTGGGTTTTTCCCCTTGGCATCATCAGCAGCTAATCCAGCTGGGAGTAGCCCTGCTTTGGGAACACCCCCATACTCAGGGTCAACATCTGGGGTCAGGAATCAGCTTTACCCTCCCATTAAGGTCACATTCTGCTTTTGCCTTTTTTGTCTGCTGGCCCCAAGCAGAAGCACAGCCAAATCATAACTGCTGGGAACTGTAGGAACACCAGAAACTGGGGAGGGGATTGGCTTTCAGTGGCCTCTGGCTCAGCTGGGTGACGTTACCTGAATTCAGTGTACCTGATTTTATGGCATTTAAGCCAGAATTATATTCAGGTGTGACTGAGCTGTCAGACAGTGGTGCAGGGGTTTGCTGAGCTCTTTGGGGCAGTCTTGGCAGCACTTTGCACTCCTGGCCTTGGTGCCAGGAGCTGAACTGGATCCTCCCGAGGCTGAGCAGAACTGGCAAGTGGGCAGACAGCCCTAGGAAGGGATGCTTTCCTTGTGGCCCTCACACAGGTAGTAGCCCTGGCTGCAGAGGTGTCTGGCTGTTGGGTGCCCTTCTTACTGGGGTGCAGGAGGAGCTGGGGCTGTGTCTGGTGAGCTGCCAGCTCTGGTCCTGCAGCGTGCTGGGGGAAAGGGTCAAGGAAATGCTGTGCAGGCACTGGGGAAAAGGGACTGTGAGCTTGGTGTTGCTCAGTGGTGGTGTCTCTGTCTGCAGAGCAGAGGGAACACCCCGGGGCTGTGTTGGGACACAGCTCATGTGATGGGACACTCAGACACCAGCCCTGGCAGGAAGGGTGTCTGTGCCTTGTGGGAGGACTTGCTTGTATTTCTCTGACTGTTGTGTTTGCTGAAGCTGAATTTGAAAACTGGGTGGCCCAGACAGGGCAGGGAGTGGAGGCACAGCTCACCTTGATAAGGTGTGACTCAGAGCCAGGTGAGTGACTTTATATTGCACTCTTAGAGGAAATGCTCAGAAAAAATAACCCCAGACTTATTCTCTTGTCTAGCACAGCTCCTGAGAGCAAACAGGGCCTGTCCAAGGGGTCTTCCTGTCCCTCAGGAGAGCTGTTCCTGCCGCAGAAACTCCTGTGCTGCCCTGTGGGGAGGAGGTTGAGGGTGGCAATGTTTTCCCTGCTGATAGGATGTGAACCAGGCGTATTGATTTGAAGAGTCCTGCAGGGTTCTGTGACTCAGGGCTGGTGGAGTTTGAATGGGGAGCTGTTGAAACAGAAAACACACAGGGTGTGACTTGGGAGTTGTGCCTGGAGGTGCTTTTATTTATGGAGTTGAGAAGTCATGTTCTGGAGCTGATGTACCTCAGGTACTGGTGGACACTGACTTAATTCATATCTACAGCTTACATAGAAAATATCATTAAGTCTCCTGCTTTTGTTTTATTTAATGTTCTTATGAGGAGCTTTAAACAATTAAAGTATGTAATTTTATTAAATTGTTGGGGTTCTTGTTCCTCTTCTCTATTTACTCTGCAGAGATTCAAATATCCACCCAGTTCCTGTAGATCGTTGCTGTGGATTTCCTGAGCTTTATTTGACAGAGGAAAAGGAGTCCTCTGCCAGACAGAATAAAGGATATTCTAAACATGACTGTATACTCCATACTCTAGTGCAGATTTTCAAGAAAATACAAACTCAACACATTTCTCACACGAGGATAGATTGATACCCTGTTTAATGTTTGACTCAGATGGAAATGTCTGTCTAGTTTCAAGTGTGTCATGGGGGCTCTGAGAGCTGTAAAAAGTAAACATCTTGGGCTTACTAAAAGTCACGTAGTACCGGAAACTTGTCACTGTAAAACAGAGCTGGGGCAACGGTTCACTGTTAACTTAACAAATGATTCATCCCTGCTGCTGACTTCCTGCAGGATCCACCACGGGTAATTCCAGTGAAACCCTCCAGCAGGAGTTTTGGCACTCCATAAACACACGAATGTGTAGATGCTCCAGCGTGGTGAGACCCATCCCAGCCACAGCTGGAAGCGGCTCAGTTTGGGGCTAATGAAGCTCCAGGGACTTTGTCTTCACTGGAACTTCGGTTCAAAGTGCTGGTTGTGGCAGTGCCAGCACAGATGGAGCTGCTTCCCTGGGCTGGATTAACATTTGCTGTGAGAGGGAACGGAGATGCTGAGTGAAAAATAGCAGTGTCCAGGGAAAACCTTGAATTGTTGTCGCTGCAGCAGCAAAAATATGGTGGGGAGATGAGGAGGATTTGGGTAATGCAGAAACTGGCTCCCTGGGAACATGAAGAAAGTCTGTATTCGTTGCAGCAAGCCTTGGATTACGTGAGGAAGCAGAATAATCCTGACAGAGCAGACACTTGCACAATAGAAAAACCATGTACATGTTGTGAGAGGATGTAGTGGAGCTGAGGTCACTGAGTGCGTGTCCCCACGTGGCACAGCACAGTCAGGTTTGGAAGCACTGCCCTGGCTCTGGAGCTTGGTCTGTGGCAGCTGGAGGGCTGTGTGGGTATGAAGGGTGGGCACAACATGGTCCTGGAGGCAGCTAAAATACCTCAGACTACCTGTGAGTACCTGAGGGGAACGTAGTGCCACAAGCTTTGGAGCAAGAAGTCTTATGCTGAGGCCTTTGGAAAAAATAGAGGGGTTAAAAATAGTTGTTTGAAGGAGCGAAGTAGCTTCTCTTGAAGGAATCTCAGATTTTGATGATAAGGGGGACTGAACCCTGGATTCAGTCTGTGCTGTGTCTTCAGGACACGGCAGGAATTTGAGAGTTTCTGTCCCTGCCAAGGTTACCATGGCTCTGGGGATATCTCCTTTTCTTCCACTGCAAGATTGAAAACCAGCCCAAGGCTGGTTTTTACACAGCTGAAGTGTAAAAAATGGGTAACTTTGCAATTTGGGCATTGTGGTGTTTGGGATATTCTGGACTGCCCGTCCTTTTGATTTAAAAAATACCCCTTTGTGTATTTTTGAACTCTGAACAACACAATTTACTGCAGTCACTGGGTTCCCAGTGTGTTTCAGCAGAACAGTCCCTGCACAAGTACAGCATTGGTTTATCCCTGACATTTCCTGCTCCTGTCAGGCTAAATGTGTCAGCCTGACCCCGAAACCAGCTCTGAAAGACGAGATGTTTTTTGAATTCTCAAAGATAGTGAA